CTCCCACCTCTCCCAAAACCTACCTGGGGAATCTTTTCTCAATAACATGACTTCATCTAATAACACTGAACTTGCTTATCAAGCAACATCATCCCAAACCAACCCTAACACCACAGATACATTAACTGAAAATAATACAACAGAACACGAATACGATGCTGCTTCTCCTATATATGACAAAATAACAATCACTACACATAATGTACAAGGGCTAAACACAAGGCTCAAAACACAACTATGGTTTGTAGGTTAGTGTATGTAGATGCAGGTAGCTTTGTTTCGGTCATGCTTATTATGTGGAACTGGTGTGTGTTGTAGAATTCAAACCATAGTTGTGTTTTGAGCCTTGTGTTTAGCCCTTGTACATTATGTGTAGTGATTGTTATTTTGTCATATATAGGAGAAGCAGCATCGTATTCGTGTTCTGTTGTATTATTTTCAGTTAATGTATCTGTGGTGTTAGGGTTGGTTTGGGATGATGTTGCTTGATAAGCAAGTTCAGTGTTATTAGATGAAGTCATGTTATTGAGAAAAGATTCCCCAGGTAGGTTTTGGGAGAGGTGGGAGTGCTAAAATGGAGTTTGGTATAGTTTTGACTGTGAAATGTTGATGTAATATTTTGAGGGTTTCAGAGGCAGCCTTTTGGTCTGTGATGGAAAGGGTTAGTTGTATTGTGTTGATATCATTATTTTTTAAGTAATTAAGAATCTCATCTAACTCATTTGGTATTGTTAGTTTTGTCGGTGAGGTGTTTGTCAAGTTGGTTTCTTCTATAGTGTTGGTTTGAATTTTTATCCAGGAGTCAGGAATACGGTAGAAGTAGTAGAACTCTCTCAGTAATTTGGCCACCTCAGTTAGGGTTTTTGTTAAAGTGATAGGTGTTAAAATACTGTAGTCTGTAATTTGCTCTGGGTCTTCAGGAAGTTCAGGCTTTTCAGTGGGATTAGCTGTCATTATTTCAGGAGATAGTGGCAGGTTGACTTTGTAGTTCTGGCCTATGTCCAGAATGAACTCCATAGCATTCTCCTTGTCTTCGATTGGGAACGTATAAGTCTTCATAGTTTTGATCTTGTTTGGATCCTTGGGGAGAGGGAGTTTTGCTTAGTAGTAGTCATTAGATAAGTTTTTGAAGGTGTTTTCTTCTTGTAATGCTTCGATAATTCTTTGAGAGTTGCCATGGCAGTCATTTGGATCAAGTGGGAAGTAGCTTCTATGTTTAGGGCTGAGGTCTTGGTATGCTAAAGGCAGGTTTTGGTGGTGGCAAATCAAAGTAGTTGGATGGGATTGTTTTGACTTCATAGTATTGGCTAAGTTTTTTTTGTATTTGCCTAGATCTCTAAGGCATTTTCTATCAGTAATTAGGAATAGATCTCTTACTGCAGGGTGAAGATTGGCCAGATTTGTTAGAAGAGGGTCCAGGTTTGCGAAGTATTCCTCAGGTAGCTGATCAAATTGGTAAATACGATGAAGTGCTGTGACTACAGCTTTAGTGTAGGCTTTGTTTTTAATAGGTAAGGTGAAAGGTAACATTTGTTGTATGTTTTCAGAAATATCATCTGGGTGACTAGGTAGTTGTAGAGGGCTTCTTGGACTGCTTTTTGGATGTCCTCGTGTTTATTTAGCTCTGTGTCTTTTGTAAAACCTTTGTAATATTCGATAAGTTGTGTGATGTATCTAGGAGGACAGATATTGAAGTTTGTGTTTGTTATATGATCAAGAAATAATTTTTGTCATAATTTCTGGTAGATAATGTCTCTTGTTTCTCTGTTGGTTATTGTAATCTGGTTGGCTTTTTTATAATTTTGTAAGGCATTATAAAACATCTCTTCGTACTCAGTTTGGTGTTGTGGAATAAAGCATTTGGCTCTAGTAAAGGTGAGAAAGAATGTTCTGTCGAGGTGTTTAAATTTGGCAAGAATACCTGGGGAAATTTGTTTTAGAGTAGGTTTAGTTGCAATTTTGTATTTGATAAATTCTTGTAGACTGTCGCTAGATTGAAAACTAG